ACATGCGACACGTGCCTCGCCGTTTCAAGAGCAACTTCAGAGAAGGTACCTTTCCTTTGTTGGTGATTATCCCTGTAATTTGACTTGGGAATTCTCATCCTTGTGTCAAATCTGGATGACTTAATTTGATTGGTTTTCTTCAATCCAGGGACTGAGGCTGCCCCAAAGAAGAGTGCCGCTGCTGCCAACTAAGTCTGGATGAACCTCAGAAGCTAGAAGTTGGGACTTTTTGATTGAATTGTACTCCTGAACTACTTAGCCGTAATACTATGAAAGTACTTGTTTATCATGCTTTGAATTAAAGTCAGACGCCCTGGCGGTATGATGTATCTTTTTTGTGAGCGTGCTTTTTTTTTTATTTAGTACCCCAGTTTGATGCTCATGCAATTATCTTCGCTTGAAAACCGTTGTGCACGTTGTACGGTATTAGCTGTGAAAGAGAGATGCAGCATCTTCGAGTGAACAAGCTGATAAGTGGGCTATTGTTAGAAGTCTCGAAGCACACGCCAATTTGTTAAAATCATTGTCCCAATCTTTAGTAAATGGTAGTATCCTTTGAAGATCAGAGGTAAATCTGTTGTCACGATCGCTTCCATGATAAGTATTCACTGTAAGTTTCCTTCAGAAAACATTGACAGTAATTTGTTTGAGACGATTTTATCTGGAAAACCTAAATCTTTTGTCTCTAGCACATCCGTGATGAACATTGACACTTGACAGTAAGTTCGTTAAAATAACATTGACAGTAGGAAAGACACGCTGTAGTGAAAATAACACTGACAGTAAGAAAGACGCGCTGTACTGCTGGTCCTTCAGTTGCATCAGGAAACACTGTGCAACATAATGTTGATCATAGTAAAGATAGGTCTTTTTTATTGCAGGCGATCACAATAAGATGGGTGACTACATAATGTTGATCGTAGTACCGGAAACAGTGGCGAATCTAGGATTTTGTCTTAGTATGCCGCCAAAAAAATTTCATATACAATTCGCTAAATTCATTTCAGCAATTCAGTAATAATTGTAAAATTGACAACATGATTCGATATATATGCACTAAATAACACAATAAGACTTAAATTTATGAATTAAGTTCAAACCATCCACTAAGTATGTATAAATAGTTCAAAAGCCATATCAATAATTGAAATAAGGCATAAAAAAGAACTAGAGATTTACAATGCTATTTTGTGACTATTTTATTCGACGCTTTCGAAGGGACATAAATGTATTGATTATATTATCTTCATCAACTTCAAAAAAAAATATCCCGCTCAATGAAAGTGACTAAACAGTCATCCAGAAGACTATCTCCCATCTTATTTCTTAACTTTGTTTTCACAAAAACCATTGCAGAAAATACCCTTTCAACACTTGCCGTTGCCACAGGTAGAAGCAATACCAATTTGAGGAGCTCATAAACCATATCGTACACTTTGTGTCTCTTTGTTTCAAAAAGCTTAACTGAGAGATCAACAATATTGTCTAGACCTTTGAAGCTATCATCATGTCTCATGTCATCAATATAATTATCTAGCTGCAACTCAAGTTCGAGCAAATTATTATTTAAGAACTCTTTTGGGTAGAACTCAGCTAGTCTACGTAGCTTCTGTGCATCAAAAGAAGCAAATGACTTGGAAGGACTGAAGGCCGACATACAAGACAACAACTCCATATTAATCTCATCAAACCGATTATCAAATTCTTGACTTATTTGATCAATGACACCAATATATACTTCTCTTCTAAAGTGGTCATCATTAGTTTGCTTTTGGGCACGAGCTTTCCTTATTGATTTTTCATAAGGAACATAATCACCATCCATAGCAGGAACTTCAACACCATGTTTATCGCAAAATGAAGTGACTTCAAGAAAATTATCCCAACCATCAGACCTCAATTCTTGCATTCTTTTCTTTGCCACATTAACAAGTGATATTGCATTAAGAATATCTTGGTCCCTTCTTTGCAAACACTCAGATAACTCATTTGTATATCAAGAATAATATACATTAAGTGTGCAAAGAAAATAAACTCAAAGTTCTCAAACGCTCCGGTCACAAAATGTATTTTGGTCCAATCATCCTTATATGCAGGATCATCCCCAAGATCAACCAGTACATCATGGATTACTTCATACATAGTAATGATGCTGCATACAGTTTTGTAATGAGATCCCCATCGAGTATCTCCAGGCCTAGGCAAACTCATCTCTTGATGTAATCCAGTTTCAGATTCAATTTCACCACAGTCAAGTGCTTTCTTGACATTCTCAAGCCTAGCATTTCTAAGTATGTCATGACGCTTACAGGAAACTCTAATAATATTCAACAAGATAGATATTTGATTAAAAAAAGTCTTGCAATCAGTATTTCCCTTGACAACAACAACAACCAATTGGAGTTGATGAGCAAAACAATGAATATAATAAGTAGAAGGTGATTCTTGCATGATCAATGTTTTCAACCCTTTAATATCTCCTTTCATGTTGCAAGCCCCATCATATCCTTGACCACGGATTTGAGTCGTAGTCAAGCCATGACTGACAAGTAAAGCTTCAATTGCATCCTTAAGTGATAAAGAGGTAGTATCATCTACATCAACAACTCCAATAAAATGCTCACATGGCCTTCCCAATTTATCAACATAACGCAAGCAAAGAGCTAGTTGTTCTTTATGTGATATATCACTAGACTCATAGCTAAAATTGCGTAGGGCTCATCACCAGGTTCTTCAATTATTTTCTTTCTAGTTTCTAGGGCACAACAGTGAATAATTTGCTTTTGTATGTCTGGGCTAGTTAAGGTACAGTTACCTGGAGCATTGTCCAAAACATACTTCTTCACTTCTTCACTATTTCCGGCAAGAAATTTCAAAAGTTCAATGAAGTTCCCTCTGTTGCTAGATTATTCACTTTCATCATGTCCACGAAACGTCAACCCTTGATGCAAAAGAAACTTGATACACCTAAGTGAATAAGTCAACCTTTTCTTATAAAGACGAAGATCCTCATCACTCCACTTCTTAATATTATAATCAATTGCTACCTTAGGATTTGTAAAGCCAATGCATCTCTCTTGAGCTGTAATATGTGCCTTAGAACCCATATGTTTGCGAAGTACTTTCTCTCCTATATTTCAATTCTTCCAGCCATCAACAGTAAATGTGTCTGACCCAATACCCTTCTTGAACAAATAGCATATGAAGCAAAACACAACATCCTTCTTAATACTATACTCAAGCCAATCATTATTATACATCCAACAATAGTTGAATCCCCGATCCCTATCTAAAATCTTTCTTTTTGAAAAATCATGTGCAAAAGATTTGAATGGACCTTTAATAATATATGCTCTTCGAATTGCATCTTGATCATTAACAGGATATTTTAGAATAGGATGTCTTTCACATGGATCATGTGGAAGGCGATTGGTGTTATAAACTCATGGCAGTGAAGACGGTTGTGGCGGCGGCATAGGATTTACAATTTCCTCAACTACTCTCTCATGAATCTGTTCTTCCACCACAAGTTCAATCGGATCAGGATTAGAAGTAGCAGCAGCTGCCGCAACCTTCTTCTTTGCTGCATGCTTCTGAAAAAGAGATGCAATGTCCCTGTTTCTCGTCATAACTGCATAAATATTACAAAGAACACAATGCCAAATAATTAAATAAATTACGCTTGCACGATTGAACTCTCACATAGGATTATGGATCACTCACATGATATGAGTACTGAACAAAAGATCAATCAAGATCGACTCTGATGTTGAGAAAAATCCTCCACCTCGCCGCGTGATAGATGATTCTATAATTTTAGCGCTAAGCAATTAGCAATTAAAGTACACATGAATTTTTTTAAAAAGCCGAAGAACAAAGATTGAATCTCACCAGAACAATTGTGATCACAAATTCGCCTAGATGCCGCCGGTGGTGGGGCTTGCCGTAGTCGTGAGGGCAGCGTAAGGCCAAGCAGGACACGAGGTCGGAGGTCACGAGGGCGACAATGACGCCAGCTTGGTAGGGCGCCACGCGCACAGCGGCCGACACGTGAAGATCCATATGACCCGTACACGGTATTAGCGTCGGCGCATCTTGGCGTGAGGGGCAGGCGAAGACACGAAGTCGAACCGCCTCGATCCGTAATTCCGTATTGGCCTTGTCCCGGGATCCATCTCCGTCGCTGGGCCGCCTGGGCGCTTGGGCCTGATGCTCGCTCGCGATCTCGCGGAGACGGGGAGTCACGGCCTGCCTCTCGCTCGCGGCCGCTAGCACGCTCGGGCTCGGCTGTCAGGGACTCAAGTATGCAGCAAATACGTATATATACTTGCTCTCACGCAGGAATTGCAGGATATGCCGGTGCATACCCGGCATACCCTGTAGCTCCGCCACTGACTGGAAACATAATGCTCTTTGGGGGAGCCTATATTATCCTTGGTAATTTGAAAGCACACGCTAATTTGCAAAAAAGTACTATACGATTTTTTTTTAAATGATTGCATTCGAAAACGATGAAAGTAAATCTTTTGCCACGATCACTTTCAGATAAATATCGATGGTAAATTTTCTTTAAAAAACATTGACAGAAAAGTTGTTTAAGATGATTGTGTTTGGAAGGGATGGAAGGTAAATCTTTTGTCAAGATCGATGCACGAGGAAACAATGCTAGTGTAAGAAACACTGACAGTAGGTTGAGAAAACATTGACAGTAAACAGTAAGAAACACATGTTGTATTGCTGTTCCTTTAGTTGCAGGAGGAAACAATGCTAGTGTAAGTGCAACTGGAAACATAATGTTGATCATAGTAAATATGGCCTTTTTATCGTAGCGTAGGCGATCACAATGACAATAAGATGGGTGAATGAAACATGTTAAAAAAAACATAAGGAAAGGGGTAAAATTTAGCCATCTTTGGCCTTAACCCTCAATCATTGGCCATGCAACATTGTTGTACTTAGCCATGCAACATTGTTGTACGGCGGTTCACGCGTTGGGTCGATCAGTGGCCGCCAGACACCGTGTCCTTGACGGCCGCCGCTGCGCCCGCCGCCGTGTCCTTGACAGCTGCCGCCGCGCTCTGGGCAGCCGCCACCGCGCCCTGGGCCGTCTGCGCCACCTGCTCAGCAGCCTTGGCACGCGCACGGACGGTGTTAGCAAGCACGGTCACGCAGTTACTCTGCGGCGAGGAGAGAGATACCAGCCGTTCGTACCTGCTGAACGGCGCCGGCGGCGCGGTGCTCCTGCAGCTGCGCGCTGTCGGCCGCAGCGCAGGCGGTGTTGGACACGGCGCAGGCGGTGGCGCCGCCGGCGTCCTTGACGCACTGCGCCGCGCGCCGCGCCTGGCACTGCATACACGCACAAGCACACACATACGGGTGAAGTGAACTCCATGCCATGTGAATGTGATGTGATCTGCTTGGATTGGAAGGAGGATGCCGGAGCTGCTCACCTCGCCCTCGGCCTGCGCCTTGCCGCAGGATTGCTCGATGTTCGACATTGCCGATGATCTGCTTGTAACTTCTCAAGATCACTTTAGGAACGAACGACGATATTGTTTGATGGACAGTCAGGCGCTCTGACTGGTTTATATAGACAATCTTGGAGATGCTGCAGCATTGACAAGTGTCGGGCTGATTTTGAGTGGCGAGAGCGAATAAGCGGTAGGTGTGCTTGTGAATCCTGACCACAAATGGCCATGGCTGATTACTGCTAGTTCAAACCATGTTTAGAGCATGCTCATCCACAAATAGGCAGGCACAGGAAATAGAGAATTTGGATAGAGTTTCAGACTTTCAACATCCATTCATCACACAAGTGGAAAACTTCATTTTCTTTCTTTATACTTCCTCTGTTCGTCCCAAAAAGAATATAATTTTAGCTAGGTTTCAGACAAGTCAAACTTTTTTTTTAAATCTAAACAAGTTTATAGGAAATAATATCAATATTTATATACCTCCAATTAGATTTGCTATGAAAATATATTTCATAATTAATATAATGCTACTTATTTGATATCATAAATGTTGGTATTTTTTATAAATAAATTTGGTCAAAATTATTTTTTTAACTCATCGCTAAATGAGAATTGTATTGTGTTTTTTTTGGGGACGGAGGGAGTGCATAACAAAATTTCCAAGCTCATTCATGTATTTACATCAGTATATAATAATCTACATGATCGATGGCTATTGGCTATTGTATAATCTTCACGGCAAAACACCGCAGCAAACCGATTTACATACATGAACAAATCATCATCAGGTATTAGTTGCTACAAAATATTAGTGAGAACTAGCTAACGACTCTGCATGCCACGTAGAGAGAAAAAAAACTAACAAAATTTGATATTTTGCTGACATATTTCAAGTTTCACCTTCAGTTTCAGAACAGACGGCAAAGCTTTGATTTCTTCATTCTCTTTGGGGGTGCTTGTATAATTAAGGAAATTTCAAAGCTTATTCAGCTGCTTAATAATGGCCCGATCGCGAAAAAAAGAAAAAAAAAGAAAAAAAAAACATTAGTCTACAGAATCTATAGCTAGTTAATCTTCACAACAAACATTTGGCTACAGGCTCAAAACCCTGGTCGTGTCTTGTGCTAAATTCCTTAGAAGAAACCGGAAAAATATTTAGACCTATCTATCTCAAGGTATCACCATGTAAAGGAGGACAAATGACCCAAACTAGTCGCCACTACCTTTATTGGTAAAATAAAATACAATGTAGGTAAGGCGAGACAAACTTATCTCCAGACCTGAATATACAGAGATATAGAAAAATATCAAAAAGATGCATTAAGTAAAATAAGACCACAATTAGATTAACCACGTCATATATTTTCATAGTATAAGAATCTATTTGGACATATAAATGTTAATTTTATTTTTATTTAAACCTAATAGTTAAAGTTGAGATTAGTTTATCCTTCAAAATCCGAAATGAAAACTTATTTTTAGAGAAGAGTGAGTACCCGAAAAAGCCAAAGCGGGAGAGTATTAAGTTAAATTTAAGAGAAATATTACTATGCTTGAAAATAATGAGAACCCTCCATCAGACTAGATCGGATGGTCAAAAAATTAGAATAACCGATTCAAAGAAACTTAAGTTGTAGGCTGGAACTAAAAATTAGGCCCCGTTTGGCACGGTTCCATTTCACCAGAGAAGCCGTTTTTTCGGGCTTCGGCTCCATGGACAGCTCTATCAGTGGAGCTGGAGCCGTTTTGGTAAATCGTTTGGCAAAACAGCTCCACTTATAAAGTTTCTTAGAATATGCTCTCACAGAACGCCATGTAGGATGAGGTGAAACCAGGAGAAGCCACTATTTTTGGCTCCTTCGCACACCAAAGCTCTGGGAGAGCATATTTTTAGGGGTTTCATCGGTGGAGTCGTTTCATTTTACCCTGTTTGGTATAAAACGGCTCCAAATGACTTTTAAAACCGCTGGAGAAGCCCTGCCAAACGGAGGCTCAGTGGGACAAGAACTAGTTTCAAATTAAATTCAAAGGGTATTTATGTTAATTTCGTAGGTGAGTTTTTTTTCCTGAGCACGACCCGAGCCCGCGAAGTATTCGGCGGTGGTGGCTGCCGTCTACCGACGATCGAGGGGAGGCGGCCGACGAATTCATGCCTATCTTGATCAAGCGCCGGCCCCTGCTGCCCCGGCGACCCCTATGAACGTGTGGGCCTCGATCCTGCGCACGGCTATGAACCTATGGCAACTAACGATGGAGAATGGGGAGAGGTGTGTGCTCGGCTCCTGTGAGGATGAGTAGTAGCTGCCTTGCTGCCCCTTCGATTGCAGCCCCAACTCCGACCGCTAGAGGTTGTTCTGATCTTCGGCGGGATCGCCAAGATGTGGAGCGCGCGTGTAGCATCAAGAGAATCGGAAGGAAGGCTACCGTGCCCTGCAAGCGGCCGGCAGTGATCGCCATGCAGGCGGTGGCCCAAAGCCCCAAACAGACGACGGTCGGTTGCGATCTCGTACATGCTGCCGGCAATGATTCCCAGACAAGCGGACGGCACAGGCGAGCACCCTGCAGCAGCCTGCCTGCGGGAAGCGCCGGCGAGCACCATCCCGGCTTCCGCAGATCCGTGTGGCGTTCAGTTGTTCGCAGAGAGAAAAGAAAGGATATGTCGGTCTAAGTGAATATCCACTAAAATGTCTAAGGAACCCCTAATTACCTCAGATGGCTGAAAAAATTCTACACGGAGGAACCAGTGGTTCCTTCCGAGCACCATAACAAATCTCTAAAATTTAAATATATAAAAAAGAAAAAAGAAGAAGAAGGGAGCACGAGCCGGTGCTGGAGGAGGTCGGCCCGCCGGCGGCCGGAGGGGAGAGCCCCGGAGAGGAAGGGGTGCCGGTCTGCAGATGGGCCAAAACTTTGGGCTCGGCACGGCAGATGGGCTCAGTAGGCCGACAATGACCCGTGGACCCACCACACAGCTCTCTCACCTCCCTGTTCAGTAGTAGTTTGTGCAACCCCTGATTCTGCTCTAACCCCTCATAGATGCGTCCTTCGATTCCAATCAAATCATGCATATATGCTCTTTAGCTGCTTTATTTATGTCTGTTGCAATTGGAATTATCTTTCCCTCAGTGAAATACAGAATACAATGGTTGAGCCAAATGCAATGTATTGATTGGATTTGCATGTAAAATGCACTATAATTATGCTTTCCTCATGTGATGAAATTGTTTCTTGCTTAGCCTAAATATATCCTTGCCTTTTGTCCTTAACCACTAGGAAGCAAAGAAAAAACCTCGACTTGGATCGTGAAGCTGCGAAAAGGCAGGAAGCGACAAGGGCGTTCTTCTACCCCAGCCTTTCCAAACTCACAGATTGCCACTATTGGTGAGCCTCTCCCCGCCGTCACCATCCTCCTCTCAATCCCAACCACGCCGGGAGGAAATAATCGAGTACCTAGAACGATGAAGGGAACCCTAGAGTGGAGCCTTACACCTTTACCGCGGGACGAAGAGAGGGATATGCCGTGATCTTTCGTGCTGATGGAACCGACTTGGGTTTGTTCCCCCAGTCCCCGGAGAGCAAGGGGTTGGGGGCGGGGCGGGGCGGTGGGGTGGGGTGAGGTAGGTGAGGGGTTAACCTGGGTTGGCCAGAGGGTGGTGACTCAGCCGGAGGGGACCTCCGATCTGCGGCTGACTTAGCATTTGTTCTCAGCATGTGCTTTCCAAATGAGGCTGGTTTTGTAGCGATTGTAGGAATTGGCAATTGTTGTAGAAGTTTTCCTTGGTAATCATACTAACCCAAGTTTGATTGACTAAAATAATATCCACCACTACCTGAAACACTGTGAGACTAGTCCATAGTAAAATATACCCATAACCTTATGGGCTATCCATAGTGAATAAAAAAATATTACTTTTTCTTACTCCTCTCTCTCTTTCTTGATCTTGCACAGGATTGGATATGACGATTTTTTTATATCAAATGGGACCCACTCTATAGACTGCTTGTTGGCTAAAACATTGTGGGAACAAAACAATAGCTATAGACTTCTCATGTGGGTCCCATGTATATGGACTATATATAGGCCATGTTCGGCTTACCCCATATTCGGTTTGTTTGGCTTCTTTTTTCAGCGGGAACAGTGTTTTTCTCTTACAATAATTCAGCCGGAACAGTGTTTTTCAGCCAGTTTCAGCCAAATTTCAGACCAACGAACGGGGTGGTTGCTCTTACTGCTGTTTGAGACGCCCTCTGGCTTTGCCATATTCAACATTGATGGTATCCATTTGTTTCTACCAAAAGCGGAGGAGGTACTTGTTTTATTCTTCCTTCCGAGTGTAACTTGATCGTTGAAGCATTGTCATCGACCTATTTTTTATGGATTTGCTTTGTCTCCTGCAGAACATCTGGGCAAACTTTGTCAAAGATTACATGACACACCGCGTCAGTGCCCCTTTCTTTCCTTTTTATTGCTTGTTGACAATATTCGGTTTGTTTGGCTTCTTTTTTCAGCTGGAACAACGTTTTTCTCTCACAATAATTTAGTCAGAACAGTGTTTTTTAACCAGTTTCAGCGAAGTTTCAGACCAGCGAACGGGACCATAACCGAGCAGTGATCTTGCATAATCATGATTACCATTTTCTATTTTGTATTCTATTGCTTGATGGGAGGCATATGGATGCAAAGCTCACTGCTTCATTAGCTCTTATTTATTCAAACTCTTTCCCATAATTCTGTTTGCAAAGCATGTAGTATCTAGTGTGATGCTGTTGCACTCATGCCTGAAAACTACTTTCCTGAAAGTTCACTATGCGGGCAATTGATCGCCACAGAGTGAAACCTAATGCACCAGTTTTTAACTAGTAACTGCTAGCTAGGTACTACTATCAGAAAGTGCCACTATGGTCCATGTAAAAAAGCATTGAATTACTTTAGGAACGAATACTTATTCTTAATTACACTGCAAGAATCGGGTAAACAAAGACTTAAAAACAAGAATATACCTTGACGTACCTACAGAATTTAT